AGACGCACACTTGCTAACATCCCAGTTATCTGGGAGGCTAAGGAAAGACAATCAAAAGTTCAAAGCCAGACTGAGCAGTTTAGAGAGACTCTGTCTCAAAATTTTAAAATTAGGGCCAGCAAGATGGCCCAGTGGGTAGAAGTCCCCACCACCAAGCCTGATGGCCTGAGTTCAATCCCCAGGACCCAAATGGTGGAAAGACAGAACCAACTCTAGCAAATTGTCCTCTGAGCTCCATGCACACACCGTGGCACATGTGTGCCCACACACATACACATGCATGTGTACATACAACAATAAATGTAAAAAAAAAATCTTTTTAAGCCTAGAGACATAGGTCAGTGATAGAGCACTTACCTAGCTTACACTAGGCCTTAGGTTCAATGTCCAGTATGAATGAATGAACAAAAGAAAAGACCTTGCCATTAGCAGTATTTGTGAATACCAAGGACCCACCTAGGCTTTAAAAATTTTTTTAATTTATAGTTTATGTGTATGAGTGTTTTGCCTACCTGTAAGTGTGCCACATGCATGCAGTGTCCACAGAGGCCAGAAGAGGGCATTGGATGCCCTGGAACTGGAGTTACAGGTGGCTGTGAGTGGCCATGTAGGTGCTGGAAACCAAACCTCAGTCCTCTGCAAAAGCAGCCAGTGCTTTTAACTGCTGAGCCATCTCTGCAGCCCCAACAGCAAGATTTTCAAGCCCTCTTCATGTCCAGTTCTCCCAGTTCCCTCCAGGCCCACTGGCTAAGATAGAAGAAAACTTATCTACAACTTCATGCTTCCATATGCATGAAAATAATGCAATGCAATAACTAGGGAACACACTTCCATTTCTAGCAAGAAGTAACAGGTTGTTCCAACTTTTCTCCTGAATGAAAATGACAGCCATTCATTCATTCATTCATTCACTCAACAATCATCCATCCAACCACTCCATGTATAGCCAGCACAGACGATGCAATAAAATAAGTATAATCAGCAGGCTGGAGCCCCAGCTTCACCATCTACTAGCTCTGGGGCTTTGAGTAAACCATGTAATGTCTCTAGGCCATGGTTTCCTCATCTCTAAAATAAGAACAATAATAGTGCCCATTATTAGTATAGTCACAACGATTAAATAACTAAATTAATGTGAGTACTTGGCAAAGAATAAGCCCTCAAGAGTTAATCATCATAATGACAGTAATTATAATAACTGCTCTGAGTATTAAAAACATACACTCATCCACAGCTAGGTGCCAGGCTCTGGATGGGCCAGAAAATATTTTTGGCCTTCTGATTTTGCAAGGGTCTTTAGTGGGGCATTGGATTTCTCATGGCAACTCCTCCAAACTAGTGTCCCTCACTTGCCAAGGATAAGGGTGCACCCAAGCACCAGAGCCATCTGCAGCATTTGGACTGCACCCCTCCTCAAAGCCATGTTTAAACAATTATGAGCATTATGTTGCAGGTACCCATGACCACAGCAGGCCGGCCCAGCACAGTGCTCATCTTGCAGAGGCATCTTTTGTGTGGGTTTTGGGTTACGGCTGGGCAATGCGAAGCCATAGAGCGAGTCGCAAAACGAGTTTTCATAATCTCAACCTGTCACAAACCAAGTAGGGGCTCATGCTGACATCCCCACAGTAAGATTAAACAGCATGCTTCGTCAGGCACTAAATACTAACACAGCTCCCACGTCAAGGGGACATTGATTAAAACTGATGTCAATAATTTATGAAACACAATATGGTGTTCAGATGCTCTTTTGAAAAAAAAAAAAGCCGGGGGGGGGGAGGGCCCAGCAATCCAGGTGGTTTAAAACTGTCCATGCATTTTCCCTTGAATGTACACCCCCACGCACACCATGCATGGGTGCTTCTTTGCACAGTGAATGTAAATGCACATGTGTATAAAAGCATGTGAACATTGCTGATACATATGGGGCAGAAGAAAGTATTTAGTTATTCCACTGAGAGCTGTTCAGGCTGTAAGGTTATACATAGTCTTGTCTTTCATATTGTTTCAAGAGTTCTTTCCTTCCAGAAGAAAGTCAAAATTGCATTTAAAATAAAATTGGTCTTTACAACAGTTAGCATTTATTTTTGTGGAGAAATTGACCTTGAAACAATACTGAAAAGAAAGCTAGATGGAAGAAAACACATGAGATATATGCACTGCTTGGTAATCTGTAAGTGCCCTGGCCTCTGAGGAGGGCTGTTCAGCCGTATAACAGCAACACACTTTAAATTTTTAGAGACTGTGTTGGGGAGAGTAGAGGCCAACTTAGGGAAGTATCCCATATAGGTCCATTATAAATCATGTCTTGTGACTTTATAGAAAAATCAGAACAGCATGATGATACTGCCTGATTTTCGTCAAGATTGAATTTTTTCAAAATTAAAAACAATACAGCTCTTTGCCTTAGTTGTAAATAGTCTGGGCAGCTTCACCTTATGTGTCAACAGTGTGAAATTCACAAAATGGGATTAGTTGCTGATAGCACAAAGTTAGTGTTTGAAGGATTTATTAATGCTTTTTCCTAGCACAGTGCCCTCTAGTATCTCAGAACACCCGTCAAACACTAATTCATTCACATATCTCCACTACAGGGCCTTTTCATAAAAAGCTCGACCTTTAATTGTAAATCACTCCTAAATTGTCCTTGCTGGCTTTCTCTTTTACAGAATGATGGAAAAATCACTAAGACTTCAATTAAGACTTTATGGGAACTTCAAGCTGATGTTCCCAGCTATACCTACAAGGTATCAGAACATCTATTCAAAAAGGAAACTATAAATAACTTTAACAGAGTTGAATTGGCTTTACTTTTATGAAATGAATGAATAATTGGCAAGACTTAAAGATACTTTAACTACTGAGAATTAAAATAACTTCTGTAAAACCCTGAAAAATATCGTTAGCCGATCATTTGTCATGTAGATTATGTACTTATTAGGCCTAATTAAACTTTTTGAACAAAAGCCGCTTGCTAATTACATTAGTTAATATGTTGATTGCTCAACTTGGCGCAAAAAATAAAAAAAGGTCAATCCAATTTGCCCATAGTTAGTGCTTTGTTGGAAAGACCAAATCCTAAACTGGAGAGATTGTTTCAAGTCTATGACCATGGTTATAATAAATACAGGTTATGCATTCACATTGGAAGTAACAGGAAGACATGAGGGTGAGGGGCAAATCTGGACATTCCCAAGGATAGGAGGAACCTTCAAGCCAGTAACATTTTGCCACAGCATCCAGCTTGCATTTGTCCAATTAAAACCTGCTGGTGACCATACAATGTCATCTTTCATATGTATATACAAACTAAAACTGATAGCAAAACCCTGGGAAGCCCTTTAAATGCCAATAAAGGGTTTTTCCACACAAAAGGAAGAAAAGAAAAGAGGAAAGGGGGAGAGGGGAAGAGATGGGAAAAACTAACATTTCTCAGGGAATTGAACAGATCAAAGAAGTTTATTCTCCAAGACCACTAAGTCGGGGTGTGATTACTGTGCAGATTCCTGAAAAAAAGTCTCTTCACATTGGCTCTTCTGTCCCTTGAAGGCTTGGGATGTACAATTAGGTCTGCAAAAGCTGGGAAACACTTGAGCGTAAAAATGGAGACCTCGAGGAGCAACAGGAGGCCCAGGCGCCCGCAGATTAGGGCGCCTGCCTGGGCCTCTGTGCACCGACCCTCCAAGACATGTTTTCCATTCTCTTGCTCAAAAGTCTGCATCCACAGTCAGGAGGTACAAAGTATCCGACAACAACATGACACAATTAATCAGAACCAGACCTCAAAACGTGTGTTTGTGGGGACCAGCAAACTTTGCAATGTGCCTCGGAGGGTTAAGCAATTGAAGAGATTCACACTGGCTCTCTGGGGTTGGGAGGGAGAAGGAAAAAAAGAAATCTGTATGCTCACAAAAGATGCACACCAAATGGCACATTAGGACTAAATGATTTTCATTACAATCTCTGTCAGATTTAGACATTTACATCTAATTCTGAAAAATCTCTCTCTCTCTCTCTCTCTCTCTCTCTCTCTCTCTCTCTCCCCCCCCCTCTCCCTCTCTCCCTCTCCTTCTCCCTCGTGGCTGAGTGTTTCTGCACCAACAAGGTTGTACAGTTTATAAGTAGAATGTATCCTGTTAAGGCCTCTTTCTGACCCAGGCGTATTAACCAATGCTGGATTTGTCAGATTTCTTTTTCAGGAATTGAAACTCCATTAACAAATCGAGACGCTGGGCCTTTAGTTAATTCAAAACTGTTCAAATTCACCAAACCCTGGAGCTAACAAAAAATTGGTAGACTTCATTTTTAGAACAGGATTGAATTAGTTTAAAATAGTTACTGAGCCCTTCTTTGTCATCTGTAGATAGTAACTAATTGAAATCACATCACTCTCCGTTGCTAACACGGAGTTCAAAAGAAAAAAAAAAACTATAAAAAGATAAATGGAGGATGCAAGAGTAACATTTGTCGGGTACCGAACTGGTCCCAAACTGCAAAGAATTCTCTGCCATCTCCCAAGGGATTTGTGGTTGTGGCGCTGGAACTTCCCGGGTCCCCAACTGCGAGCCCAGCTGCAGTCCTAGGAAAGGGGGATGGGGAGGAGGTGAATCCTAGCGACTGGCCAAACTGAGAGGGAGGCAGCAACAGTGTTTCCGTTTGGATCTGAGCTTAGAAAGACCTAATGGCAATTTTTCTCCAAACCACTCCCTCCACCCCCGACCTCCGGTGGCACTTCACTAGAGGCTTCTTGGCTCCGCAGAGGGTACGGGGACGCACACTCAGGCGTCCACACAGAATGCCACCCGAGCTAATAGAATGCTCTCAGCTCTCCCAGGTCCCACGCATCCCTGAACGCGCTTCCCCGAGCTCCGTGCAACGTTCCCGTAACTCACAACTGGCGATCCTTGGACGCGTGGCGCCTGCGCTGCCGAGAACCCTCCGCGGCGAGGCCCGGGAACACCACCCGCGTCCCTACCCATAGCCCGCGGCGCCCCACTCACCCACGCATTCGTTGGCCTCTCGGGCCGTGGCGCGCTGCCAGGGTCGGTCGTAGTGGAAGGGCTTGCAGCGGTCACATTCAGGGCCGGCCGTGTTGTGCCTGCATTCACACACCAGGCTGTCGTCGCGGTCGCGCACGCAACGCGCCGCGTGGCCGTTGCACTTGCAGCGGCCGCCAACCTGCAGGTCGGACACCGCATAGAAGTAGGAGTCACGCGCCAGTTCCGAGTCGTCTTCGTTCTCGTCTCCAAAAGTGTGCAGGCGGCTGAAGGCCACGCGGATGTCAGTGGCCGTGACCCAGTCCTGCAGCACCGGCGAGTTGTCGAAGTCGTGCGCCGAGGGTCGCCCGTCCAGCGTGCTGAAGGCGATTAGGCCGCCGGAGAGCGGGCGCATGTCAGTGTGCGAGTCGGTGCACACGGCCTCCTGCTCGTTCTGCTTGGTGATGGGCGCGCGGTGCGGCCGGTTGTACATCTTGCGGCACTGAGTGGAGTAGAACTGGAAGGGTACCCACGTGCGCCCGTAGTCCATGGACTTGTAGATGGCCATGGACTCGGGCCGTGGCGAGCAAAACTGCAGGCTCACGTAGGTCACCTCGAACTTCTTGCCTAGCGACAGCGTGAGGGTCACGTTGTGCGGGAACTGCAGGTAGTTCTCCGACTGCCAGCACGTCAGGTTGTGCGGGTTGTTGAGGTCGGTGAGGAAGGCGGGTGGGTGTGCTTTCTTGGGGTCCGACGAGTTGCAGAGATGGCAGGAGCGCAGCCGCTCCTCGCCACGCTCGCTCACCACGCAGTAGCGGGCCGGGGGCCGGCCGCAGGTGCTGGACACGCGCACGTCCTTGCCGAAGGCTGCATTGACAAAGTCCGGGATGCAGCGGCGCGGGTGGCCATTCTCATCCGAGCAGGGATCCGGCTGCGCCGCCTGGCCGGCGAACATGCTGAGCCCGGGCCCGCCGCGCACTGCGCCCACCAGGCACGCCACAGCCGCCAGCGCCGCCAGCGCCTCCCACACTGCGCGCATCATGCCGCGTCCAGCTTGCCCCGGCCCCGCCGCGCCAGGAGTCGATCCGCCCGCCGCACAAGGCGCCTGAGGAGAGAGGGGAGCTGCGCTCAGCCAGCGGGTTCAGCGCCCTCCAACACTGGGCCGGGTGGCGGGCCAGCGCTGGACTCCCCAGGGCATCAACCCCGGGGCTACCCACCACACTCCCTGGAGCGCCAACCCCGGGGTTACCCACGTCGCTCCTCTGGGCACCAACCCAGGGCTACCCACCTCACTCCCCGGAGCACCCACGCCGGGGCTACCCACTTCGCTCCTCCGGGCACCAACCCCGGGGCTACCCACCTCACTCCACGGAGCACCAACCCCGGGGATGCCCGCCACACTCCCCCGGTCACCAACCTCGGAGCTGCCAGCCTTACTCCCCCAGAGTCCCAGGGGCGGCCTCCAAGTCTGCAGCGCCCGCGCCTCTTCTTCCCCGCCACCGCAGCCTCCACCCTGCCCAAGGGACATGCCCGCACCCGTCTGCCCTGCACCCTAAGTCTTTGGGCAAAGGGGGGCTCCGGGGCCCCCAATCCCGCACCGCCCGCTCTCCTCTCCTCCCGCCACCTAGGATCCCTTTCAAGTGTCTCGCGATCGCATCCCCCGCCGGGGAGTCCGCGTTGGGGACTTTACCTCTAAGTGATGGCAAAAGAGAAAGAAAAGTTTGTCTGGCCCCGGCCCGGGAGCCCGCGCGCCGGACAGCGGAGAGCCTCTCGCGTCCTGTCTCAGCGCGGGCTTGCCAGCTCCATGCCCGGCGCGGCCGCCGCTGCCCCAGCCCCGGCCTCGGCCGCCACCGCCACCGCCGCCGCCTCCTTCTCCCGAGTGACGACGCGGCAGCCCGTCTCCCGCCGCTCCCTCCGCGGTCGGAGTGTGCCCTGCCCGCGCCCGGGGCGCACACACACTCACGCTCGCTGGCGCGCACTCTCACACGCACGCTCGCCCCCGAAAGCTCCGCCGCCGCCGCCGCCGCCGCCG